GCAGTCAATAGAAAAGGGGGAAATCTACAAATTTTGAGTAATTTTAGTTATTAAGCTAGTTTTGTTCACATGACCATTCTCGGCAGAATGAATCAATAAAAAAATTTTTAACTAAAAAGTAGATTTCCTTCTTTTCTATTGACCACCTCCCATATGTTCTATTTACAATACAGCTCATATAGTGATTATAACAAAATTGAGTACTGCCTAATTGCTAGATAGGATTCAAAGTTTTGTGTTACAAGATTTTTCATTTAGCTTCCTCTGTAAACCTCTGAAACTTTATTTCGTTTCCTTCTACTTCACAAATAACACATGATCCAGAAAGTTTCTTCTGATTTGAGTTTTTCATTATAACTTTTAGAATTGCTAAATATACCTGTTAAAAACTATGTGATTAATAGGATTAGTTTTGAAAAAGTCCTATAACAGACTTCTAAGAATGTAATTGAAAATTTTTTTAATGTTACATGAAAAAAAGCAAGATAACAAAATATTTACCTTACTTTAAACAATATAAAAAGTTAAGTTACACAATTCTGTGTAATGGCTAATCATGCAAATGTTTGGTATACTATATTTATGAGAAAATTTGTTATATTCATATTTTTATATTTCTTAAAAAAATTTTTTTTAAAAAAAAAATAAAAAAGATCATCAAATACTTTATTTAAATATTAATATATTATAGTGAATTTTCTCATTTTTATAATATAACTATTTTTATATTAAATCAAATAATTAGTAAGTATTTGATTTTTATGAATAACAATTTTTATGATGAAAATTTATTATTTATTTCAAAAGTTTTATATATACAAATAATTTAAATGGTCAACTAAATTATTTTATTTTATAAAAAGATAAGTATTATCTTATAATAAGATATTATCAAAATTTGCCAAATATCTTTCATAAAACAAATGAAGAATTGATTAATAATTTGATTTAGAATATAAAGAAAAGATTAATAAAAATACCAAATTTTGAACAATTGATAAATAGTTTTCAAAAGCAATAGCGAATAATGTACATGTATATCAAATAGGAAGTTTGATAGCAAGCAAATTATTTTTCAAAAAAGATTGTGTATATTTATAAGAAAAGCTTTTTGCAATCTCAGGTCAAACTTTTGTAATCAACGATGCTCTTAAACATAAATGGTTCAATCACTAAAATGAAATTCTCTTTTATATTTATAAAAAAATTATAATTATTTGCATTGAATAAGCGAATATAATATTATTTTAATCCTTTTAAATTTGCTGATCGAATAATAACACTTTTTTCTTCTGATTTAATTCTTTAGTTTGATAAGAGTAGAGTTAACGTTAATTTTTCTTTTATAATTCATAAAGTATTATCATTGCATAAAAAAAAAAAAAAACGAAAAAAAAAAATAAACAAAAATATATATAATCCTTATTATGCATTATATTTTTTCACGTTTGCAAATTTTCTTTTTTAGAATATAGTGTATTTTTTTTTTTAACAAAATGTGTTTTTTTAAAATTAAGATATATAAATGCCCACAAAATAACTAAATAAATAAAGATATAAACTTTTTTTTAAAGGAAAAAAAATTTAAATAAATAAGATCAAATATTATGAACCCCACTCAGATTATCTTCCCCAAATACCAACACCACTTCCAACACAGAATACAAGGAATAAGCACAACATTAAAAGGAAAGCCATTAAATAAGCATAGGTTTCATTAACAACGAATCTAATTAATAAAAATCCAAATACCATGTACATCAATACCAACCATTTTAACCCTTTATTCATTCTCAAATTATGTATCGTTCTCCACCATCTAGAGTGAGCATTTATTGATTGTGAATTTCTGCGCGATTGTGATGGAGTCGATGTAGTTTCAGAGAAATCTGCTCCATTATTTGTTACCATCCTTTCCAATCGCGCACTTGGTGGAGTTGTATTTATTGTCGTCGAGACATTATGTGGAGATGAATTTATTGTGAATAATTGTGCATCTACAGGATCCAATGCATTTGATTTGAAAAATTGTCGTACCGTTGAACGCATCAAAAAATCATCATCAGTTGCATAAAATATTGCCTTGTAATGAATTGAATTGTCTCCCATATCTATTTCATTTAAAGGTATTGAAGGGGATTCGACATTGATTGGTGATTGTGTGACTGTAGGTGTTGGAGATAAGATGGGTTGATTTTCCAAGGAAGAAGAAGGATTGATGTTGTCATCATTTTTTGGAATTGAAATGGAAAATTCTTTACTTGATTGACTTTTATTATTATTATTGTTGTTGTTGTAATTATTAAGTTTAATAGAGGATAATAATTTTTCAAAATTTCCAGAAGCTGATGAATTATGATTGTCGGATGTAATGGCTTTTGGAGGGGATTTTATAGAATCGTCAGCTGACCATCTTTTATTATTAGCATTCTTGGATGAATGTGAGTTCATCTCAATAGCAACCAATACTTCTTCTTCGTTTTTAAAATTCCATATTGATGGTGGAGCGGAATGTAATCTATCAGCCATCGATATTACATCATCAAAATTAATCGTAACCTCTTCAGTTTTATCAAGTGAAGAAGTTGCTACTATCGTTACACATTTTTCCTTAACAGTTAATGTTTTTCTTGATGTCGCAGACATCGAAGAAGATTTTGCAAATGTTTGTGATTTTTTTACACTCGCTGCTTTAACGACATAATAATGTACATCACCGATTATATTCATATTATTTAATGGCTAAAAATGTTTTCAGGGAAAAAGAATTAATTTTTTTTTTTTTAAAAAAAAAAAAAGATTTAAAGGAAATCAACTTACATTTTTAGCTTTCATACGATGTAATAAACCTTGATCGGGTTGAGTTCTGAATAATATTTTATTTATCTGATGACCAGAATAAAATGAATGATAATATTTTAATTCATCTAATGGGTCAACGGTAGATACTTTTGCTATGATAAAATCTTTATTTTTTTCCGCATGTTGTTGTATAAGTGTATCAAAAGATTCGAGAGTGAATGGATCTTCGGTCGTTGCATCCAATGAATGAAGTATTGATGTATCATTTTCATTTTCTGTTGAAATTTCCGTACTATTTTCATTAAGTTTAGGTCGTTTATTAGAATGTCCTTCTCCAATAAATTGAATAACCCTTTCCGACGTTGATAATCTCTTTTCATTATCTATTGATACACTATGTAAAATATTGTCAGTTGTATGCTGCCCGTTATCTTCCTTATTTGTAGATTCCTCCTTCGTTAAACCTTCTTGACACTCTTCTGTTGTCATTGTTTCTGTTGAATTAACACTGATTTCGTTTACCCTTACCATAATTATATCATTAAATTAAACTATCAAATATATTTTTTATATATTTTTAATTTAATTATATAATTATATACATATATATAAAAATATATATATATTTTTTTTTTTTGTTTTTTTTTTGTTGTTAAATTGCTTTCTTTAAATTCTGGTCACAAAAAATACAATTATTGTCGTAAATTGATTGTCATACATTACAAGTTATTTTATTTTTTCTTTTTTTTTAAAGAAAAAAAAAAAAATTTCTCTTTAGAAGTAATCTTTTGCGGTAAAAAAGAAAATTATATTTTTAGTAGAATATAATTATAGAGGCTGCGTCGTTACCTTAGTGGTGTTGTCATGATAATAGTAAAAGAATTAGTAAAAAAAAAAATAAAATATGACAGGTAATACTAACTTAACTATATGAGGATTTTTTTTTTTTTTAATATTGTTAATTGGGGCGGGCCACTATTTTCATATAAAATTTCAAACATACCATCTAAGGTATCATAAAGGTCACGGCTAATTTTGCGTAGCCAATACAAATAAGTTAAAATGAGTTTTTTATTACCATTTGGGAAAAAAGCGAAAACGATTTTTTTTGTCAAAATTCCTTGAGGACTTTTCGAAGTAAGAAAATTTTCAGAGGCGTCGTTGGAGTCATCAACGTTCATAATAAGAATGATAGAAGGTATTTTAACATAAATCTATGCGAATTCCCTTTTTTGGTTTATTAGTCCGTAACGAAGTGAAGGACTATATAAACTATGCAAGGTGATACAAGATGTCCCGCTCAATAATTGAGTCGATGATGATTGGCTTTGTAATTTGCACATAAAGCAAATATTGGACTTAACAACGGTTTCCCGTTTCCTAGTATGAATCTATTGACTAGTTTCAGAAATCCAATTGTCATGTGGCGTGCATTTCATTATATGTAAATAATTAATTAGGTTTTCTTTTATAATAATAATAAAGAGACTCTAGGATTGCAATAATACTGAGAACTGTTTCACAACATTAAAAAACTACCTAATCGGATTTCCCTCGCAGGATAATCCACATACAGAACAAGTTTCTAAAATAACAAACAAACAAAAAAAAAAAAAAAACGAAAGACTTGTTTTCTTTTTTCATTTTGTTTAATAAAATAGTCTCGGACGAAATTTCATTTCACTAACCATTTCAGAAAAGTTGATTCTTCTCCCCCTTCTCGAAACCAAAAAAAAAATTTATCCAATTTTGATTATTTTTTTTTTTTTTTGATTTTTTAGATAATCTTTGATAATTATCACCTTTTCAGATCTTCCCGACCCTACATCTTTTTTGTGATGATTACCGAAATTACTAAGAAAATTATCGAGCACTTATATCCGACACGTTTTTATATATTATTTTAAACCTTTTGAAACAATCCAATAGAACAATAATTCAAATCAATGATGCAATTTTTATCCAATAATTTTTGTCATGGTAATGTTACATTCATCCATAATTGTACAATTGGTATTATTAATCAAATTAAAAAAGTTAAATTAAAAATTTATCTTCAAAAATGAGAGATTCAGATTTCGTATAAAAACCAACAAAAAAAAAAAGAGAGAAAAAAAAAATTATTCTTTCCTACATCAACCTTTTTTTTTTATTTATTATAAAAAGGAAATTTTACGAAATGTCTCTACGTTTAGGAAGTATTGCACCAGATTTTACGGCTCAATCTACCAAGGGTGTGATTGAATTTCATAAACAAATTGAAGGTTCTTGGGCGATTTTATTTTCCCACCCTGCCGACTTCAGTAAGTATCATCTTTAATTTTTTTAACTTTTTCTAGAACAAATCCATTATAAAGAGGAACCTAAACATGACCTTTTTTTTTTCTCTTCTCCTCTCCCCTTATAAAACAGCCCCGGTTTGTACTACAGAACTTGGAGAAGTGGCTCGCCGTTCTTCAGATTTTGCCAAACGTGGTGTAAAAATTTTCGGACTTTCGGCAAATGAATTGAAAGATCACGAAAAATGGGTTGATGATATTAATGAAGTGAATAATGTTAATGTTGACTTCCCAATTATCGCTGATGGTGAACGAAAGGTTGCTACATTATATGATATGTTGGATCACCTTGATGACACCAACGTTGATCAAAAGGGAATTCCATTCACTGTCAGAAGCGTTTTCATTATCGATCCTAAAAAGGTTATTCGTTTGATGATCACCTATCCTGCTTCAACTGGTAAATTTTAATTGGGGTTTTCTTTTTTTCATTTCCTTTTTTTTTTACTTCCTTCTAATTTGTTTCTCCCGCTTATTTTTTTTTATGTGTAGGCCGCAACTTTGATGAAATCATCCGTGTTATTGATTCTCTTCAACTTGGTGACAAGCATCGTATCACCACTCCTGCTAACTGGAAGAAGGGTGATGATGTTATTGTTCATCCTGGCGTTTCCAATGAAGAAGCGGAAAAAATTTTCCCTGGTTTCAGAACCGTTAAACCTTACCTTCGATTCACCAATTCACCAAAGTCACCTTTCTAAAAAGTTCTATATAAATTTGCACGTTATTCTTGTATGTATGGAGGAGGCATCCTGATTTTTAAAACATGTTTATTTAAAAAAAAAAAATGATAATAATAAAAGCAACAAAGTACATTTGCATGTATTATGTTATGTATTTATACGAAATTTTTTCGTAAAGGTGCAGAATAAATTTAAACATTTTTATATATATCTAATGAAATAACAACAGCTAAATTATTTAACATTATTTGTTATGATTAAGTAATAATTATTGTGCAATTATGAAATAAATGAATAATACAACTGAATGTTGACCGTTAATCGAATTTTGCAATGTTGAGCGTCATATACTCCTTTGATCCTATACTGTGTCCTCTGAAGGCAATGAATCGACGGATTGCTTCTGAAGGCGTCGTGATGATTGATGTTGAAGATGTAATCTAGCTTCTAATTCCTCCGTCAACATGTGCAACCTGACACCTTCTTGAATGACAAGAGTTTGCTGCTGCAATTTTGTATTCAATTCCGCAAGTTCGCGACAAAGCCTTTCATTTTCTTCCTCAAGTCGTGTTACCTTTGATTCAAGGTTTGCAACATATACTTTCTTTCGCTCACGACATTGTTTTGCCGCGATCCGATTACGTTCCAGTCTACGTTTTTGGCGTTCTTCTTCAGAAATAGATTGTTGTTGTTGTTTTCTTTGATTATATCGTAAAAAAGGGACATGATATGGTGAGAAGGATGTTGTTTGCCTTTGATGTCGTTCCACTTGTCGTTGTGTCACCTGTCCTTCGCCAGGTTGATGATAGTGTTGTTGTTGTTGCTGTCGAACAGCGTAATTTGTCAACACCAAAGGTACCTGAGATTGAAAAAATTGTAATCGGTAATGATTCTCAACCGATGTCTGTTCGGCTGGTTGTTGTTGTGGTGGTTGTTGTAAATGTAAATGTAAATGTTGTTGAGGGTGCAAGTGAGGTTTTAAATCTGAACGAGATTGTGACGCGTTTTGTTCAGAAATCGAACGAAGCCTAGGTGATAATTTCTGTGTAGGTGTGGAGGCAGGGGTCGGTCCTTGCGTGGGTTGTATCATTGAAAGAGATGATTGATTATTTAAATGTGTAACAGGCCCATCATCTTGCTGCGTTGAAGAATATGGATAATAAAAGGTTAAGATTCCCTCGTTATTGGTAGGAGATGAATTCGTTCTGACGATCATTCCGGCATCCATGATTCCTTCATTCTTTGTGGTTATCGTTTCAAGAAATGGATCATGGTTAGCGTCGGATTGTTTTTGATCCGGTGAAAACCCTCCGTTCTCGGTTGTATATATCGACGTATTTTCTTGATTGATATATGTATCTTCTTCCCGGATTCTTTGTTCGGATTTTTGTTCTTGATATGGAGAAATCATTATTACTAATCCTGTTGAAAAAAAAAAAAAATTATTTCTTGGTATGAAAAATGGATCCAACGCGTTTGCACACATCTTTTTATGTTGTTGTTGTTGTTATTGTTGTTTTTCCTTTGAATTTACCTTGTTATCAAAAAAGTATGCGGCCTTTGTTCTGGAGACAACGTCAAGGGGACGCGATTTTTTAGTATTACTACCTTAAACCTATATCGTTCCTAAATTAACGAACGATTTATCAAGAAAATAAATGTGAGAGGAGTTGATGACGCGCACGTTTACGTTATTATATGATAATTATTAAGGGGTGGGAAGTAAAAAGGAAGTAGTAAGGTTTGGAAAATTGAGAAAGCAGAGAAAAAGAGTATGTAAACCCACTTTTTTTTTTTTTAAGCTCATAAGACGTATTTATATACTTTCTCATGACTTTAACCATAATTGGTTATTTATTATGTAATCATATAAATAATGAATTAAAATTTTTTTTTGATTTTTTTTTTTTAAAAAAAAAAAGGAATCCAAAAGTATATTGATGTAATCAATTGATTTTAAAAAAAAAAAAAAATTATTTGGTCATAAATTGTAATTCTTTTTATTCGCGAAACGTTATTATATATCGTTACAAAGATCATTTTTCATTTAACTGATTATAATAATTAAAAAAAATGGTGTAAAAAAAGAACGGTTCCTTCGTATATTAACGATAAACATCTTTAAATACACACCTTAATCCGCAGATTTGCATTTGTGAAAAAAAAAGTGAAATATCTTTGAGTAATTCGTTCCTCTTGGAACCTCATAGTGAATCAATTATCTATCTTCATAGAAATCTTTTTCTTTACGGAGCAAGAACGGTGATTGCAGATCAAGTCAAACCGGAGTTATAATATGATGAATGAGTAAGAGTCAAGTGATCAGCAAAGTTTCGTGATTTATCCTTCGAGAAAAAAAAAAAGTGGATGCTTACGAATCCGGGAGTCTTTTTCAGAGTACACTTCTTATAGACATGGCATCATATACTTACTATCATATCAGAAACATTTATTATACTACTCTGAACAACTTTCTACAGAAAATGTATCACGTCTTACATAACGATAATATATAACTATTTATTAACTACGGTATTTTAAAACCAAATTTCCTTCTCTCGTCTCTTTTTTTATTTTTTTGAAACCATTTACTTTTCTGAAAAAGAAAGTTCTCTTTATCATGCATTTTCTCAAATGATTTAATATGGTAAAAATTCAGGATATGAAAATAATGTAAAAAAAAAAAAATGGTCCTACTTTTTTATCATTCTATTAGAACACATTGTCTTATTATCATTCATTTATTTAACTAAAACAAATAATTCCATTTATGCATTTACTAGTGTAAATAAATAAATTTTTAGTATTCTATATTAATGTCTACAAACTGCATCGGTTTTCATCGATGATCCGGTTTGTCCCATTAATAGATATTCTGGATAGAATTAAATGGTCTTCAGTTATATTTATGTTGAGACATGCATAATTAATAATCAACTTCTTATTAAAGCCCCGTCGAAATTTATGTTATTTACCTTCCTTGATGATGCACTATCACAAGCTAACAAAAATTGCCAATGCAAAAAAAAAAAAATATTCATCTTTACGTGGCGTTCCTATTACATAATTTTTATTTTCTATCATATGAAGCGTCATAATAACAATCGACCGATATATAATACCCAACTGCTCTTCAGGAGAATTTCAAAATTTCCTTTACCGGAGAATCTTTTTACAATATTTTGTAAAATCTAGCAGATTTGTTCTATAGTTGAAGGTTCTGCCTTCAGTAGTGCTATGATTTCATTGCCCAAATTTTCATGAGCACATTCTTCGTTACATACAGCTGCTTTCGCTATCATAGCTTTGACTTCTTTCTCATGCACTGAAGGTATGTATTTTTTGTTTTAAGCTCAAGTTATAATATTTATGATATTAACTTTTTCCTTTAATGGGTAAACGAGTAGCGCAAACAACAGGAGCAAAGAATCCGGATTTCCAGTACAATCAACCCGAACCAGAGCGAATTTCACTTTGCGACGCAAACAAGGGCTTCTGTCAAATAAATTGTGGTGGCCCCGAAAAAGTACGTGTATGAAATGAAATTCACTTCTTTTTTCAATTAATTAATTTATCATTCTAACTTTCTTCCCCCCCCCCCCCCCCCTTAACTTCCCTCAACTTCCCTCAACTTCCCTCAACCAATTAAAACATTGTTTTACTCCAAAGGATAATAATCTTTTTCACAAAAACCCATGTAATTTTATTTTTACAATACTTTATTTTAGAAGTATACCATGACCCATATTCTTAAATTTCATAGATTTCATGAAATTTTCGAACATACTGTTCTTATCAAAAAATCTTTCCAGCACGACGTAATGAAATTCCTCACCTGAACTTTATCACATGACTAAACGAATATTGACATAGTATATCCAATAAGTTTTTCAGTATAAGCAACTTCACGTGTCAGATTCTTAGCGTTGCAAAAACAAAAATCTTACTTATTGGTTCTCAATTTAAAGGCGGAGTGGAAAATCAAAATTATGGTAAGAGCGATTCAGAAGAAATCCTCGTTTTAATTTTTTACCCCATTGCTAATCTCCCGAATTTTATGCTGTAGAGTTGTTTCATCTTAGAAAAGTCCTCTTGCAGGATATAATCATCTGTATTGGTAAAAGTGACGGATATGCAAAATTTTGTAGATGTGGGTCGGATAGATTATTTCAGATATCTGGCGTTTGTAATAGGGGTGGGTGTAAAAGGATTTAAAAAAAATTATATGTATATACAGTATATCTTACTATGAACAATGCAAAATGATAAAATATTTCACCATGACTCGAATTTTATATGATAATAGTATTGCCAAGTCAAAAAAAATAAATGTATCTTATCAACAGATTTATAAATCTTCATACTTCGGAGTTTCGATCACAAAACGCGTTCTCAACTAATAATCATCAGCTTACAACGCGTTCACAAAATTAATAATAAAAGTTTATTCCGAATCATATATATAGTCAATAAGTCTAATATAGACCCTCTCCAGAAAATCGTTTTTCATTATTTACTTCTGTCAAGCCAGATCTTTAACAATATGTCTAACATTTACGAAATCATCGATAGCCTTGATCTCAAAGAAGAAGCTAATAAACTACAAATTTATCTAATTAAAAATCCAAAATAAGAAGAAAAATTGTTATTGGCTCTTAAAAGTACCTATAAAACGAAAGAAGATAAACGGAGTCTTATGAAAGATTTCCTTAATACTATATCTGGTATGTTAAAATATTTGTCGTTATTATTGTTTGTGACGCTACAACTGAATCTTTTTTTTTTTTGTTCTTTATCACGCGCCTGTGGATTTAGATGAACATCAAGGTACGTGACGCGCTAACATATTTGATAGCTGTTATTATATTTACACTTTTTGAAATTTGATACTTGTATTTTTTTCGTTGTCTTTCTACAGGACAAAAATTTGGTAAGAATTCCCGAAATTGTTTTACATTATAGCCAATGATTTCATATTTCTGACTTGTTTACAGTTGAACCAGAAGTTACTGAATTTTGGAAACAACTTTCCAACGCAAAAATCATCTCTACGTTACCAAAGAATTGCAAAACTGACGAATTTAATGACCTGAAAAAGTATGTTACAGTTGAGGATGATTATATCTATCTAAAAGTTGGTGTAACCGTTGACTCGAATGGTACGTTATACCATAATGGAGTGACCACCAATTTGGAACTACCATTAAAACTTATGAATACACTTAAGCTGGTCTTGCACGAAAATGTGTACTTTCTTGGGCAAAAACAAAAGTATGGATCGATGGTCTTTATTCGTAAATGTTATTTGGCATTAATTGAATTAATTGAGGAAAAGCGTCATGGACCAAATGATCCAGCCTATAGTGGTTGTACAATCACGGGCACACCCGGTATTGGAAAAACTTTCTTGGCGTTATTTCTTTTTTATTACATCCGAAATAAATATCCTGATGCCACAATAATTTGGAGGGCAGATAAAGTTATTTGTTATCGATTCTCGCCAGAAGGTAAAGTGGATCTGGGGGATCGACACAAATTCCACAATGCATTACACGATCACAGTAACTTTTACCTTGTTGAAGCTCAAGTTCTAGAAGAACAAAAAGCTTATATGCTCCATTTTACATCGCCAAAGAGTGAACGATTTAATGAAGCCGTTAAATCACAAGGGTTCACCACGTACTTTATGCCAATCTGGGATCAAGAAGAAATCTTTACACTTTGGTTTGAAGCATTCAAGGACAAGAAGGATAGTAATGGCCAAGAATTTGTATTTCAAATAGTTAAGAACTTATTAAGTAAATGGGGTCCAATACCTCGGTCGGTACTTGCAAAGTGGAATGATGAAACATACCAGAACCAATACAGTGGCTTGGTTGCCAAGGTTGATTTAGAAAAATGCATAGATTCTATAAACAATGAGGGAATGCCTAAAGGTGATTCTATAAGTGAAAAAATTGTACACCTTGACATGCATTCAGGGTTTACAAATATGACATATCACTTTGCTACAAATGAATTAGCTAGCCGTTTAATTGATGAATATGAAAATAAAACCAGGAATAGCATTCGTAATTTCATTGTATGTGGTCGTGATTTTCCAGAGACTGCTTCATTTCGAGGACATCTTTTTGAAGATTATTCACATAGAAAGCTAAGTAAGGGTGGCAGTTTTAAAGTTCGGTGTTTGAAGGAAAATGATGATAGTGATATTATCAAAATTACAGAAAAAATTATCACAGAGCGTAAAAATAACTTCTACACTACATTGGAAGATATTCGTAAAGATTTCTACAACAGGCCCAGGTCAAAGTCAAATATTTCGATTGATTCATTTGTATATGAAGATGATAATGCCTTGGTCTTGTATCAAATTACAATTTCGACAAATCATGGAATAAAGGTAGCAATAAAAAAGGAGCAAGGTTGAACTTTTTTATATTTTGACACATTACTAACTCAGGTTTTGTAGGTTCAAGGATTAAGAGAAATTAGAAATACCCTTGGATCACATAAAGCCATTTATTTATATTTTGTTGTACCATCAATGATTTTTAAAAATTATCCTTTTCAAGACTATCAGACTGTCGGAGGCAAAAACTTCCTAAATGGACCAACAATATAACTCAATATGCATTAGAAATTGATATGGATGGATCAGCACAATATAAACGTTATGCAGATTCTGTAGAATCATCAACAAAAAGATCGAAACATGATAATAGTGATTAATACATTTAATACAAAGAAAATATTCACAATAACTCTAGTTACATGTAATATTATTATATTTTTTATAGTAATGTGCATTGCTTTATTTCATTTCTTGCGCAGTGATCTAATATATTAAATTCATAAAAATATTAAAACAATTATTTATAAAGTGAATAAAATTGTATAGTTAACTCTCTAAATGCACACTCTCTAAATGTATATACTATATATTTTTCTCTAAATGCACACTTTCAATCAATCCTAAGTATATAGAAATCATATAGAAATTTCTCTTTAAATACACATCCTCTTTAAATACACAATTTTTTAAAATTTTTATCATCATCCTAAGGGGATGCTGATTGTATATAAGTTTATTATTAAACATAATTTCCTATTTATTAATATTATTAAAATCAAATAAATTTTAAAAAATTTTAATATGTATATATATTATAAACCAATATAAAAAATTACAGTTTTTTTTTTATTAAAAATTATTAGATAATATAAATAAATAAATTTAAATATATTAACTAACATTTTTTTAAAATATAAATAAATATAATCAAAACTTGATATAACAAGTTAACATTTAAATTGATTAAGCTTTTATTATGAGAAAATTTATTATCAATATAACAAATTATTCAATATATATAATGAATAATTTTTTTTAATAAAATATCAGTTTTATCATTTTATTTATTTTCCCTTTCTCTTATTTTTTTTTTTAATTTTCTTTTTTTATATTTTTATATTTTTTTATTTCTTCCTTTATTAGCTTAGTATCTATAAACTTAAAACAATTAACTTTTAATTCAATCTATCAAATTAAATAAAGACTTTATCACAATTATACCTATATGAAAACACAACAAAAGATAATAGTAAATGAATTTATAAAATTTCTTTATTGAACTCTTGATTTATTATAAAATCCTATTTCAAGTTACTTTCAACTTAAAGAAAAATATAAGATATTTATATAAATTAAAATACTATAAAATATAATATAACAAATATAATATAAATGATAAAATAAATAAATAAGATAAATATAATAACTCTATTAGAACAGTGACATATATTACCTAATATCATTTAATTATAAGTATCTACCCTACCACTAGATAAGATATTTTGATCACGTGTATGAAAATCATTTTCTTTTACAAAATTATATAGGTCATGATACCTCTGAGATTTCCCTTCTAAAAAAATTTTTTTTACTCTAATATAAACTTAATATATTTAACTAAATACAACTTGATTTTTAAAGTATGAAAGCATAATAAATTATCAAGTTATTTCAATTGAAATTTCTGAAAAATGATACGAAGATATATTTTGCTAGTCTATAACTCATATATCAGTTGTAGTAAAAAACATTTAAGAAATAAATCATAATAAATTAAATTTTTTTTATTGTTAAATGGATTAAAAAAAAATTGTTCTAAATCTAAAAATCTGTTCTAAAATTAGAAAATCATGCTCTAAAAAATGTTCTAAAAATCACATTTTAAAAAATCACATTCTAAAAAATTGTGTTCTAAAAATTGTATTCTAAAAAATTGTGTTCTAAAAATTATATTCTAAAAAATCATGTTTTAAAAAATTATTTTAAAAGCTTTTTATAAAACAAACAAGTCAATATTCTATTTTTAGTGTTAAAATGAATTGTTAAACCTTCTTATTTAACTCTAAGTTTAATAAGAAACTGATCTATATTCACTATCAAATAAGTATTAAGAATTTACCAATGCTTATGTGTATAGTATTATAGTTAAAACTAGAAATGGTACCCCTAACTAAGATAATGTTTGGCGTGAAACTATAAAAGAATGGAATAAAATTAAAAGTAAAAGTAAATCAGAAATTGATGAGATAATTAGGGATTACCTGACCACATTATATAACTTATATGACATATAGATAATGAGGCCATGATGTCTTATATCTAGAGAAGATTCAACTCCTTCTTCTAGTCTTCTAATTATTCATTAGTAGATCTTGTAATAGAAATTCCTATTAATAGATTTGCTCAAAGAAAGATAGCAGATGAGATATTAATAGTAGAAAAAAACTTATCAAATTTGAGCAAATCTATAGTATCGTAACAGATTTTCAAATTCGTTATAATATGGGAGGTAAGCTATTAAAATCACGTTATGGTCATATGATTTACTATATTCATAACTCGATTTTAATAGCAAACCTCCCATATGTATGTAAGAATAGTGAATCTTTGAGATAAAATCAAATCTAATAGGAAGAGGATTATTAAATTAAAAAAAATACAAATTATGCTCAAAAATAAGAAAACTACTTATTAAAAACTAGGAGGTGTTACTATATGATAAATCTGATTATCCTTCACTTCTTTATAAATATCTAAATTTGCACAATAATATTCATTATTCAATTAAGTTTAGAGTAGCTGATGAAAAATGATAAAAAGAAGTGATTAAAATACAGATCATTAAAAACTTGTGTAAGAACCTTGAAGAGAATTATAATGTTTACATAGTGTAAACAATATTGAATAATTACCTGCTGTCTTATTAATCCAATTCTATTGCTATAAGAGCACACCACTATTCAGCATGAGTCATGGTAGCTATAGTTTTATGCACTAAAACACATAACCACCCTGATAGTCACTGTCTTATATCTGTTAAATACGCAAAACAATTTACCGCTGCCTTTGTTGATAAGTTTATTGTCATTTCTCAAGATAATAAGATGAAGATAGGTCTTAGAGTATCTGCTATAGGACAGATATTTCACATATTGCAGTCAGTTTATGAACTTGTTCGTGTAGCTGATTATGATTTTCCTGTGAGAAGTAGGCAAAAGTTAATCATATCAGTTTATCTTATGATTAAATCAAATGAATTAAATGATGAATTACAAACTGGACAGCTTGTCATTTTTGCACGTCAGCAGTAGTCCCTTAGAACGTCTTCAATTACATATATATAGGATCTCAAAAGGCTTACTTTAGATTCTCAATACAATGACACGTTAAAGACTGATAGAGAAATTTGACCTATCTAGATGTTATTAGTAGATAAAGAATCAGATGAAAATCCAAAGTATCTAAAAAACATTAAAATGTATTGTCAACTTTTTCAAAAGTTTGATTTAGATTACCTGACAGTATGGACACACGCTTTAGAACAATCTAAGTATAATCCTGTTGAGAGGAGAATGATAACACTATCTAAAAAATTAACAAGCATCACACTTAGGAATAGATCAGTCTTGGTAAGATCAGTCTTAAACCGGTTAATAGGACTAGTTCTTGTAATTCTCAGTTCATATTTTGAAGACTGGTCTGAACTGATCTTTTATTATTTATACATATTATTTTAAATTTTATAAATATTAAATAGATTGTTTTATTTATAAAATATTACAAAATTAGAGTTAGATCAACCCAGTTTTCATCTCTCTTATAGAGCAGTCCAGTCTATAAATCAGTCCTTAAACCTGTCATAATAGTTTACTGTAATGATAATATCTAAAATAAAAATATTAGAATAATAAGATTAAGAATACGTAGGAATCATTTCATATGCAATTATTTTATTATACTTTTTTATTTAATTTATACAATTATTTTATTAAATTGATCATTTATATTTTCTAGTATGTTCTAAACTGAACTTTGAACCAATCTTATAAATCAGTCAGGTTTAAAAAAAAACAAATCTTAGATCAGACCAGATTGGTATAAGACTGGTCCTAAGATCAGTCTTAGGACTGACTTATAGACCAGTCTGGTTTAAAGAAAGATAAAAAACTGGTCTTTTTAGACCAGATCGGACTAGACTAAACTGATTTAACCCTAATTACACTACTGATCAATCACTTTAGAATATATTAAAATATATAAGGCAAAGTAATCAATCTGGAATTGACTCTTCAAAATTTCTGATATGCTAGAGAGACACTTTGTGAAATTTGGCATTACATCTTGATTTTTAAAAGAAATGTAGATACATAGTATGTTAAAGAGCTTATTAATCTATTTGAAGATCTGTAATTTGAAAGTATAGATAAAAGAAAAGCAAAAGAACAGAAATAATAAAAAAAGAAACAAGAGAAAGGAGATGACTCACTAAAATGTTTTGTGCTGTGATTATAGATCGAAAAGCATTACAATCTATATTAATATTCCCTTAATGTTAAATGATGTATAAATATAAACTATTATAGACTATCTTATGTAAAAGAAGTTACAGAATTTCTTCTTTCGAATAATAGTTTCTTACCTTCAGTCATAAAAGTTAGAGACAGATATTTTGCAAATTCTATAAATCTTCTTAAGTATTATGATCTGTTGAAAATTCTTGAATATGATTCGCATTGCCTTTCTCTTAATCAAACAACTTATTTATAACTTTATTACTCTAAGTGTAATAAATACTTTTCAACTCTTGGTTATTTGATAAACCATAAACGAACAGTACATTCTGCTAGCTGTAAACGATCTAAGAAAAAATCTAAAGAACAAAATTCAAAAACTCTTGATGACTTCTCTCTTTTTCTTCTCTTTGTTCTCTCTAAATCCTCTTATTCTAAAAAAAACAGTTTTTATTAGTTTAAACGGTGATGCTTTTTTGTTAAAATATTTTTTTGTCACTTCTTTAGCTGTTTTTTTCATTTTTTCATCTTTTTCTTTTTGCTCATAAAAGTAAGTATCAGAAGATATCCAAATGATGATCAGAATCAATAATAACTTTAGATCAACCAATTGTATGTGATAATTTTTCTATTATCCTAAACAAGCACACTCTTTTTAGATCTTTGATGTTATAGAATCTATTGATTTTAGTAGGATTTTTCAGTTTTTTGCAACTGTATTATTTGAGCTCTATACAATATCTACTGGCAGCTATAATC